AAGAGATGAGTCATTGATAGGCCCCGCCAAAAATTATAGGGAAATAGCGTATGAAGAAGTTTGCTTCACACACATGGGGCTTCGAAAGCAAAATTTGAATTCGTCCTCACCTCATGTTTTCCTTTATTTCTAGCATATTATCTAACAAGAACCTGCAAGAAATGCCCTAGTTTGGAGATCAACTTACTACCGTACCTCCAAAGTACTCAGATTCAATTCGTATTGCATTTTTAAGTTCAGAAAAGAAGTTTCTTTCCAGTGACATACAAAATTGAATTGGACAGTGGTTCAGAAACCCCCGTTTTAGTCGAGCTTCCTTCAGGCTGGATGTTTTGCACAGGGCAGAGATTGATCTGAGGAGAATCGTTCAATTTCTTTACGGGCATTGACATGGGAATATTTCGATAGCTAGCTAGTTTCGAATTAGAGAACAAGGAACCTACTGTATATACTGAAACACAGTGGTGCCATGAAGTGCACATTTTGCAGCCTTCGAGGTTTCGCCTACGTTCTTCATGGAACGCATTCAAAGCTTCGATTTCTGTTATTGATGTGTTAGACTTTTTTCAGAGGTGACCCATCCTCATGGAATTTCCCATCCCTCAGGAAAGACAACGATGATCAACGGTTTGACGAACTACGTGTATGGCATCGAATGGAAAGATGACTTCCGGTTCAAGATAATCACTGAGAAGGGCGACGTGAACGCGGATGACAAGGCCCACAGCCAAACGAAAGGGATCTCGGCCTATTCCTTCAATTGGCGGCAGGGGATGAGGATCCCGTACACGCTCACGGTGATCGACACGCCTGGCTTCGGAGACTGTGAAGGCCTCCACAAGGATGAGGAACTTGTCGTCAAGGTCAATCTCCAGTTCCAGCAAGAAAATTTTGCGGTCGCCTGGGGAAAAAAAAGTTTCACAATACCTTGAATGTGATGGCAAGAGCTTTCCCATTGTCAGAAGCTGGCGTTTACATTTACATCTCTCCTTGCTAATTTTCTTCTCATTTTCTTAATGTGAATTTTAATTGTTGAACAAATTCCCTTCATCCGCTGCCTCCCGAGAGCTTCCTAAAAGTGCCTTCCAATTTAAAACGACCGGCAGAAATCCAGTCGATGGGCCTCGTGCTAGGCGGTCGGGCTGAATCGCGAACCTCTGCCACGAGGCGCTCGGTATAAACACCGTTGCTCGAACTCTGAAAGGTGCTTCTCAGCTTGCTCCAGTTGTGACCCCATTAAGTTGGGGTAAGCATATAAATTGTTTCCCTTGTAATTGTGTATAATTTTGTAGTTATGCGTCTCCACAAGCGAATGAATCGATTCTGTTGCTTTGTCGAAGAAAGGGCAGGAAACGAGAAATTTGTGGCTCTGACACGAAGTCGCATAGGGAATTCAAGGAATTTCTCGCAGTAATTATCCGTCTTCATCTCCAAGAATTAAACTGTCCAGTGCCAGTTTTTCTTAGAACTAGAATAATAAACGAGTTTCATCCACATCCTGCGATGATGCTGGAATGCGCCAGTTTCAGTTGGAAATTCAAGACTCTATCATCTAACACTTCTCTCACACTTCGCATCCCCATATGAAAGAGATATACTGTAGATTCACCGAGCAAAATTATTTTCTTCAACAGATGCGGGAGTTCTTCGAACTATGCGAACCACATGGCTTGAACACCGTGAACGCCGTGGGATTCGTGCTGCCCGCTTCCACTGCGAGGCTGACGGCCTCGCAGAAGTATATTTTTCACGCCAGCACCCAAATGTTCGGCATCGACACGAAGGAAAAGTTCGTGCTGCTTTGCAGCTTCTGCGACGGGCAGGAACCAGCGGCCATCGTCGTCGTGAAGAATGCGAAGCTGTTCTATCAGGACTATCACCCTTTCAACAACTCCGCCCTCTTCGCTAGCAATAAGGATCCCATGCAAAAGATGTTCTGGGACTTGGGACTCAATAGCAACAAGAATTTCCTGGCATCTTTAGGCGAGATGACGCCCGTTGGCCTCGCCATGACGAGGGAGGTGCTTGTTGAAAGACGAGCTCTTGCTGAGAACCTGAAAAAATTGCAGGAGCAAATCCCAAGAGGTGGGAGAATTCCGAGTGACCTAGGAGTATTTTTTTT